AGTTATCAAAAACAGGCTGCACCCTCTCTAGGATGCTTGTACGTGATATAATTATATCACCCACCCTGCATTGTAAGATGGCATTTATCGCAGAGCCCATCTTTCTCATCAACGAAGATACCTATTTCATTGTAAATTCTCTTTTCTCTGAATTTCAATATCCGACTTCAAACGCGAGAGAAGGCCGTTCTGTTTCTTATTGGGAACAGCCAGTCAATGACTCCCACCTCTAGACTATTAACTTCAACGAGATAATCCAATTGGGTGAGATTATCACTCGCGTCATCTCTAATCCCTTGCCCACCCGACGGCTGTTGCAGTGCAATCTTCTCGGCTCTTCGTTTGAAGACTGTTTTTCAGATAACACGCGAAATTGATACTATCCCACGTGACCGCGAACTCTGCGCGATAACATTATTTACGACAGAAATGTAAGACTGTTGTAAGAATTGGAATTCGTAGACGACTGTGAAAGTGATTGTTTGAGAGATTTTCGAGGATGGTCTGGAATAGCCTCTCAGGAGCTAAGCCAATTAACAGCTTAATGTATTAGCGCCAGACAGGTATACGTGACAGATTGCCATACTGACAATAAATCTCCCTTATCCGATTAGTGATTAATCTCTTCTCTTCATTATCCGCCAGTCACTCCCTTTCCTTTAGCTCCCCCTTCCTCCGAAGAAAAAAGTCACGGTGGCATGCAGATACATTATAACTGTTTTTATCGGTTTCACTTAGAAAAAAAACAGATAATCATGACTTAGGATCTATTTGAGGAATTCGTAAAACCGTTTTTACACCGCGCCGTCGAAATGTACGCTTTGACTGGTGTACACAATGGCAAGTAATGTATCAACTTGTATAACGTATGCGTGCGTCATTTATTTACACTTTTGTCATGCCAAAGTTATTAGGCAAACTACGTCCGCAATAACTACGAATGGTTGTGCACTACAATGTCGAGTGCATGCACTTTGAATTTCACGAACACATCGAACACAGCTCGCCGTAAGTAGAGCTAGAAGTTGATGGTATTGCAAGTTTTGAAACAGTGAAATGCCATACTACTGAGCTGAGGTATTCGCAAGAAATTTCTTCCCCGTGAGTATGTTCTTCATAATTTTTTGTAGCTGTTTATAATTTGTACATTCATTCTTGGGTGACGGAGTCGGATGTGCTATAGTTTGCAAGTTATTGGCCCTGCTCCAAGTATTGAGAACAAAACCCACTGTCATGACGAAACTGACGTTAATTAGCTCCATGGTTTAGAGACATCCAAAGCCAACAGATGTCGTAGCTACCCGGGGCAGGGTGTTGCAATTTTGAGGTTTAACTGTTAAGTAAAACGACAATTTGGATAAAAATCAAATGAAAATCAAACTCAAAATCGGAAAAGGGGTACCGCGAAGCACCGTGACTGCGTGAAACCATGCTCCATGATTCGTAGGACACCAACCATTAAACACAAAGCAAATCGGGTTTGTACAGCAAGTTGTGTTCAAATAAAAAAAAAGTGTCATTTTAGTACGATTCAGAGAAATACGGTCTTCTTTAGGTTGATAAAGCCCTTCTAGTATAGAATGAACAAATCCATTGAGTCAATAATTTGACTAAGCTATACAGAGGGGACCGTCGCTGGCCCTCACCAGCCTGACGCAACTGGTCATAGGCCTGTTCGCATTATATTATTATCCATGTACCAAGATGATTTCCAGGCATTTTACGAATGAGTTAGTTTTGCAGGAACATTTTCAACCCTAATAAAGAGCCAAGGCAATGGACCTGGATGAGTTTGTTTCTACTTTTTCCAGAAAGCACAACAGAAAAATCCAGTTTTTAAAAAAATTATTGGTAAGATTTGGTAACAACGGGAGCGTAAATTCCCTGGTTTTGCGTTTCAAAAAGTATATCAGCTATAGCATTTACGTCCATATACATCCATATAGGGCTACATGCTTTATCGGTCCAAAAACGAAAAGGGCAAGCCGCAGTTCAATTACTTTCAGTGCCCCCTTGAAAAATGTGTGCACCCCAAGTGCCCCAGAGTGTTTCACCCAATACGCCACTCAGCCCACTCACTCAATGACTGACTGACTCACTGACTGGGCAGTGCTATTGTATAGGATTACCCCGTAACGCCAATGAAAAAGCTAACTCTGGCCCATTGTGTAGACCAGATGCGTGAAAATACTTCCATGTCAATAGCCAATCTGAATCAACTAAATTGATTTTTTTTTTCCGTGCTCTAGGATGAGTTTTCTTACGCTTCAGTGCCTTGTCTAGTTTTAATCTTTCCTTGATCGCTCCCACTATTCGCTCGCCATTTAAGTTCCTCCGAGCGTTATCTAATCGTCTTTCCCGTCGTGGGGAAGAGTTTATCATCCTTGGTGGTCCCATCTTCTTTCCTCCGGGATGTTGCTGCTGTTTTCCTCCCCCATTGTCTTGCTTGCCGGCCAGCCTTCCGAGAGTTCCGTTCCGATCCGCGGGCGCGCCGAGACGCCACTTCCGCCGTACAACAGCGGCGGAATTTTTAATCACAATATTCCTCCCAAACGTTCTTTCGGGAAATTATGTCTGCCTGATTGGTAGCAATTTACTGAACTGTTATAAGCAGGAAGTTTGTATACAGGTTCTGTTATTCGCACTGGACTAGGGTGAGTTAAAAAAAAAAACGCGCACGGAGCCCAGACAACTGAAGAGGAGGATACCTCATAGTGGCGGCACCATGCACTGACGTATGACGTGCAACATAACGGTTTCAGGCGCGTTGGTTTCCAAAAATGTTGTCTGCATCTGCAGGTTGAACAGGACTGTTTTGGTTCCGTGGCACTTCGATGTTTAGCGAGAGACATAATAAAACAAACACACGGCCCGTCTTTTTAACCACTCTTGTTTACACAAAATCCAAGCACTCTTTTATTTTGTCCCTCCACAAAGACTCGTATACAGACCTCTCCGGGCATGTTATCACTTGCAACACGGAAGCCACCTTCACTGGCGAAAGCAAGGGCATAAAATCACGCAGGGGATGGGGAGAATATCCCCACACACTTTTTGACCAGGGGGATGGGCCACTGAAGCATCTCCCCCCCCCCCCCATTTTTGTGGTGAGAAACACCAAAATGCCGATTTGAGGTTAACTTGTAATTTTCCTATACAGTCCAAATTTATTAAATAATTTTGAACAACGGAGAACAAACGGTACAAAAGCTTTACATGCACCGTTTTGATGCAATAAAGGATGTAAGCGCGCAAGTTTGTACAACATGTACAATTGTCATGAAAAGCGCCCCCTATTATTGCGGGGTGTCCCTCCTCGCCCCCCCCCCCCCCCCCCCCCCCCCACACACACACACACACGCCTATTGGCCTGGGGCATGGGCCACTGGATCATCTCTCCCCCCCCCCCCCCAAGATTGTTGTGGTAAGAAACCCAAAATACCGATTTTTAGGTAATCTTGTAATTTTCCTGCGGTCCAAAGTGCTAAATAGTTTTGAACAACGGAGAACAAACAGTACAAAAGTTTTGAATGCACCGTTTTGATGTAAGGTTCATGGACGTAAGCGGCAAGTTTGTATATGTGCAATTGTATCATGAAAAGCGCCCCCTATTATTACGTGGTGTCCCATCCCATCCCCACCCCCGCCTTTTCGATTTTTCACTGCCGGGTATTTTAGGATTTTACGGTATGCTCCCATCCCCACTCGCCGACACGGATTTACGCCACTGGGCGAAAGCATTGCGCTAGCTATTGTTCGGATAATCCGTCCAGGGCAGTTGCTTGTACAATAGCGTGTATAATGGCTTCTCCATTGAAGGGGGCCTCGTAAATGTTACGGAATCACGTGCCCTGATTCGTCTATAGTGTGTGTGGCGGTTGTCCTCTTATGTGTGTGTTTGGTATGCATCGTTGCACCTCGTTTAGGAAGAAATATGTTGTTTAATGACATATCTGCGGTTTGAATTTAACCGTCTTGGAACAGCGACACTTCTCTATATAGCAGCTTGCTTCACCCCGCATTACCTTTTTGCATTGAACTTGGAGTGGGCGTATACAAATATACATTATAGCGGGGAACATTCAAGGGCCGGGCTAGACTGGTGCCCGCTTTCCCATTACCGAACATTGCTCGTCGGATAATGAAAGACCTCGATCACGTCTGCTCACATTCCGAGCGCAATCCATCATTCATGGTGCTTTTCGTCTGTTAGTTGTGTTAGCTACGTACTTAATGCTAAAGCGCCCGATCGACCGCTCAGTTCATCATGTCTACACAAACCGAGTCGGAGCACACTGATCTAGTATGCTCACGATAGTGCCTCGTGGCATGATGCAAGTCACGCTTCTCGTTGAAAGTTCGTTAACGTCAATGGCAGAAATGATTTTGGATAAACTGGCAAGACTGGCTGAGCTTTGCCTCTTAATTTCCGTGCTCAGTTTTGCTGAGTCGAGAACCTTCTAAACACTCAGAGTTGTTCTCAGTAAAAATCCTTCGCTAATTCTGTGGGGATCGGCTAAAACCTCTTGGTTCTGGGGAGCTTACAGCATACGCGGAATATTGAGAGCGTTTAATTTATCAGCGGAGCAGCGGAGAGGGTAATTGAAAATCGACGGCCAGTATACGTGCCTTACAAAAGGAGGTCGTGCCTGTGTGTCTGTTTGCTGTATGGGGATGCGCGTGCAATGGTCGCACCGTACCACCGAGTTCATCCACGCAGATTGCTATCGGGGGCAAGGGCGCCCTCTCCTCTGCGGTGACCAAAGTGGTGCCTCCCGCGAACCAATGGGATTGGAGAAGCACACAGAGCTGCGTGTTGTATTCGCTAGCACGCGGGATCCTGTTACTGCCGGGAGGAATTCTAATACAGTCGCGTGCGCGGTGAGTCACCGACGCTAGCTGGAAAATAATTTTTCCTTTGAAAGCCGTAGTTTGGCTCGGCATACATCATTACCTTGATAATTTCTCTCAACCGACGGCGCATCGTTTCTCTTTGGTTAATTGGCGGGCTACTGATATACGATTGTATGAACAGACTGTTGTCATCAAAATTTCTGTATTCATTCTGGCTAGAAGGGGAGAGCCATTGTCTTTTCAAGATTAAATTTGGTTTAAAAGTTGGACCATCGCCGCCTACGTATCTACCAAACTCCTTTGGCTTTGTGTACTTTTCGGACCAGTTTCGTCCTTATTTCCAATTTTGGGCATCTACCCACGCCTTGTTGTGACCTGTCGGCTGTTGTTTATCATCAGACACTTCATCCGAGCGGTCTTGGTGAGGCATCTCCGTGTCGGAATCACATTCTCATCACCTAGACCCTGTCGTTCCTCCGGCCAGAAGAGCCCGGCGTGGTGTTAATCTACACCAGTGGACGCCGTCTTGATTTCAGGTCGTTCTTGGATTAATTCCAGATCGTTGCCGGGTCTGTGTGCTCTGCATACGTGATAAACTCTTATTAGGGCTATCGCAGAAACGGAACAGTCAACCGAGTTGTAGCCAGTGAGACTCTGAAGTCATTTCTTGTCCAGACGCTGTCCCCCTTCGTGGAGGGGAACGCCAATGCCAGCCAACGCCATGGCGATGGCGTCCAAGGCTTCCACCCCGGACTCGGAGGTCTCAGCCCCCCCACAGGAGAACTGTTACCGCCTGGTGGTAGTCGGCTCGCCCAAGGTGGGCAAGACGGCCATCGTCAGCCGATTCCTAAACGGCAAGTTTGAGGACCAGTACACGCCCACCATCGAGGACTTCCATAGGAAAATCTACAAAATCAAAGGGCACGTGTACCAACTGGACATTCTGGACACTTCCGGGAACAATCCATTTCCAGCGATCAAGAAGTTGTCCATTTTAACAGGTGGGTGTTTCTATTTCACTTGATAGTCTATTTGACTTTGCTTTTTTCCAACACTTAAAATGTCTCGTAGGTATAAAAATCGAACGCTGATCGGTTCACTTGTGGGAAGGTAATAGGTATTTTGCCACTAGGAACGTCCAGTATAATCTTTTGTTTCCACTCTAAGATGTTTTCATTGGTGGAGATATTGTTAATGATGCTTAAAGTACAGATTTGTATTGCTACCTATTCATTTTCTGTAGTGAATATACAATTGAAAATTGAATTTGGCTTCTTGTGATATTCCCTTCCAAGTGTATGCAAAACTGTATTTACCAAGTGTAACTACTGTAAAATATAGGCTTACATCCGGGTGCATCATCGCAGTAGGCAAGTGCGCGAGGACGCTCATGTGCACGAGTTTTGTCATTTGGTTACAGGGTAGACACCACTACCGGTTTAGGCATCACGACGGGCACGTATTTAATAGCGCGCGTGAGTCAGTCAAGCAGTCCGGTTGTCTCTCCACGTTTCCATGACGATCTTAGAATCGTGAAACTCGCCGCTCTTGCACGAACCCCGAATCATTTTGCTTCATCGCACACACATGATTTCGATTTGCAATTCATTTTTTATAATGAGACGTGCGTTGGGCTGATCAGACAGATAAGGGTATCCTTGTATTTCATTGGGAGTCTTGTTGGTAATCATGAGAGTTCGGGGTCCTAATGCGCGCGTGTATTGTTTCTCGAAAGCCTGACAAATGGAGACGGAGAAACCAATGAAAGTGTTCCGTTTCAGAAGTGGGAGTCCGAACGATTTACATGGGGAAATTGGTAGGCAAATCTCAATCAACATTATTGTCTAAATGAGAGTCAAACCGGGACCCAAGAGTTGAGAAACCACCACTTTGCCAACCAGACTTGTATGCATTTATACATTTGCAGATTAACAGCTTCGTTCAAGACGCCTCACTTTCGACTAACGTTGAAGCGCAAATTACTGATGGTTTGTTAACTGTTTGATAAAGATGGGGCATGCAAGCTATCTGTTCTTCACTACTGCGCAGTTCTCTTCTCATTATTCATAACGTTGCAGACGCTATCGGTTATTCGCACGACTTGGATTTACCCCTGAACACCAGATAAAGTCTCGTTTTTAATTTTCAAACGGATTTTTGTTTGGTCTGGTTTTGAATGTATTGTATTGCCAGACTTGTATTGCTCTGCTTATACAGACAGTATAACCCACAGGCTGGAATGTTTCAAACCTTGTTTTAAATAAAGTTTGATTGTACCGAATAACGTTGAATTGTATTCACATGCATTGATGGTTGGTATGGAGGTCGTAGTGGTGCGGTTGTGGTAAGAGTGCTGACGGTGTCGTTGTGGTGATTTATGGATGTGAGGATGGTGAAAGTAATGGCAAAGTGTGAATGAAAACTCTCCAAATTTCCATAGGCCTTTTTTTCTGGTAGGAATAGAAGATGGTGTTTTGCATCTACGTTCACTTTGATATCGACAAGAATTCACACGGGATTTCCGAACCGCACTGGGGCAGAAAAGAAAATGAAAGCAGCCGCGAGGGGGAGAGAGTTTGTTTTATTTTTTGTCCGGGGAGGACTAGGCGTTGATTTGTGATGGCACAAGGGGAGGGCCGTGGAGCGTGTATTTCATTAACCGAGGGCCCCGCTCATTGATCTGTGAAAGCAGAGGCGACTCTGTAAGATTGGCCGAAATTCGAGATTGCTGAAAGATGTTTTCATCAGCCGTTGTGGAAGATTAAACGCATGGCGAGTGTAGTTGAACAAGCTTAATCCACTCATACAATTTTTACGCTGTCATTGACGAGATGTTGTATTAGCTTTTTTGATCGTTTGTTTGTTGTGTGGTTGGGGTGTTTGTTGGGGTGTTTGTTTGCTTGTTTGTTCGTTCATTCGTCACATCATTTTATTTAACAAACAATGATCAATCTTTCATTTCGTTCTTTGAAGTATGATTTTTTATTTTGCCGTCAATAAAACTGTGCACTCTTCAACTTTCAAGTTGGCACCGAGAAAAGAGGCGATATAACAACAGTAAACGCACATGACATTACACATGTATAATGGATGTGTTTGTCGTTTTCTGGAGATAATCAGTGATCAAAGTACGGTTTGAGAGATGTATAATGTTATCTGATCATCCCTTATTTCTTTATTATTGTTGCTATTGGTACCGAAATAATGACAGAATTTGATATTATTGTGTAAACGGAACTCGGTGAACGTGACATTTGGATGCAAATTAAAGGTTCAGTGGACGAGCCTGCCCCGCCAAAATGGCGGCCGGCCTTGTGGTTACAGACCAACAACAGCAGCAAATTAAATTAATATTCTAATTACCCGCAGAATAAAATTCCGCGCGGGTAATTCCATTCCGGGCTGAACTTCCGCCCCGGCTCCAGGCAGTTGCAACGGTTATAACGGGCGGGCGGCCTGGCCTAATTTTAACGAGGTCTCGAGCGTTGCTGCACGCATTCAGAGAAGTCGAGAGTCCATCTGATTCGCCGCAGGCATGGTTGCACCATTTGCACCCTGTATAGCGCCACAACAACAGGATTACATGCCTGAGGTGCGTTGTCATGGAGACAAGGAACTACTTGTATCAAAATGGCGTCCGCCTTCACTTAATTGGTTTACATTAACATTGCACTAACATTTTCCGACCGTACAATGAGATGAACTTCCGTGAACTCGTTTAAATGACATCATTGATGCGTTGGCGGTTGAGACTTCACTTTGGCTAAAAGCTAGCAATTTTCATAGATTCTTTATATACACTTTTAAAAGTCCTGGGTCATTTTTGACCCGGTATCCAGGTCAAATTCGACCTAAAATTATTCTGGTTCAAAATGTTTTTTTTTTGTCTTAAATGTAAAAAGGAAACCTTACTCGATGATCCAATTAAAAATACTTTTCCTGGTCAGCATGACCCAGCTGCAGTGACTCAGAGAATTGTCATTTTGACCCGGAGCAGTGTCGGTCAAATTTGACCGGATTGTGGTCGAATCCGACCCAGGTTTTTCGAAAGTGTACTTCCTGCTACTCTGGAGAACCTTCGATTATATTTAAGACAAAATATGACGGTAAGCCGTCCCTCCTTTAAAGGCTTTCTATCATACATAAGTTGTTCTTCAGAATCCAGACACAATTCTTGGCGATGTCACGTGCACTACTTTATTTATTGCCTGTCAAAAAAACACGTGAACCTGTGAAGGTAACTATTTCTGGCAGATAAATTGGCGCGAAATGACAGCCAGGAGAATCGACCAGCGCCCTTTATTACATTACACCGCGTGGTCGATCGGACGGCGACGCTTGACGACTTACAGTCCGCGTTGAAACATGAATGAGAGCGCGCTGCATACTTAATGGGATCCGGCTTCTTCAGAAGCTTACCGGTTTTGTTCCGTAATGAACTCAGAGATCCCTGAAATCTGACTATAGAGATGAATAATGGATGATCTAATTTGCACTGACCCACTGGCAAGCAGAATGATACAGCCCATTGCGCAGACAACTGGTGGAGAACATGGCACTGAATGTTTTTTTTTTTTATACATTAGCAGTATGGCATTGGCGACAGTCTTTTAGCTGGTTCCCAGGCCTAGCTGGTGCCTTTTGCACTCTGAAAATTGTCCACCGTTCAAATTGGTCAAATATCGATATCCCAGCTTCATAACATACAAACAAAACCAATCCGTAGCAAAATATGCAGTGTATCAGGCGTCATTCGTGGCCATTGCTGAACGTCGAGCTGATGTTAGCCAGACATCTTCGGCTCCATATCCATCATGCATGGTCTGGCACCTTGACTGACAATTAACCCATTTGTGTCCTCGGGGATAACTCCAATAGATAATTCAGTTCACCTTATTTTCCCCGCGGGGTGCCAGTCTGTGAAACAGTACGCCCACAATACATTCTGCAGATTTTACATCAAAGGTCATTCACTGTGTGATGTTATTAAAAAAAATTAACAGGGGAAGTCTGTTATAGCCGGGTACTGATTATTTTTTTACCTGGTTTGAAGTTAAATCGGCACGGGTAACTTGAACTCTTGGTGGCGGTGTTCTGCGCAAACTAAAGCATCGTCCTGACTATATAGCCGGGGGACCCCAACTATAGTTTGGACCCCCCCCCCCCCCCCCACTATAGTTGTGCGTGTCTCGACTATAGTTAGGACCATTGCTATAGTTGGGGTTAAAGCGGAAAACACTTTTCAACAACCTTCGATTTTTACCCACAAATTCACAAGCTGCATCCGCTTTTGTTCGTTTAGCCACCGCCCTAATTAGGATTGTTGATGACGGTTCATTTCTTTCACAAAATCTTACGTGAGAAAGGTACACCATTCACTGGTTACATAGCCATGATTTTGTTATAATAAATTCCTACATTGCCTGTGCAGAGTGCGCATGCGTCGAGCTCACGCGGGCGCGTTGGATTTTGCCCAATGAAAACTCTAAGCCGTCGCCAAGGCCCGAGGGTACTTGCGAAGCCTCCGCTTTGAAAACCTGGTAAATAGCCTATCTCTGGAAATTATTTCGCCACATCAGGCTGCAGTGATATTAATTTCGTATTCTAGCCGAGTGCTCGACTGTCACTGTAGGCGACAGACCACACCGAAAAGAACTTACAAATATTGACCCGAAAATCGGTCCGTGCGCGGTTCTATTTTCAGCTCGATTTCGTCCGTATAACAGTCTTCGATCTTGAATAGTCAATGAGCGCTTCCAGCATGGGCATGATGAAACTCAGCGTGTGCTTCGGCCAATACACGCTACATTCCAACTTATGGTGTGGAATATTCGATTTGGGTGATCAACATCTGGGCAGCCAATAATACTTGTTACACAAGTTCTAATCTAAAATTTTAATTCATACTTTTCTGAAATGCAAGAGAGTATAAAGTACCATCTGGAAAGAGAACACCGATGGGCAATTCGAATAATTCAGTCGGTATACACTGGACAAACAT